ACTCAAATCACATTCTCTGAAAATGTACATATTGAAAGAATTAGAGAGATGAATCTTACACAACTTAATCAATAATTCATAACTTATGAAAGTAAAGATGTAAGATCTGAGTGAATTATAATTATCTACAGCACTATTATCAGTATTGAAAAAGAAGAGACTTACAATTGAAAAGTCTTGTGAAGTAAGAGAAATCATAGACACTTATAAATCAGATGATTTCACTTATTTCAATCTTTTCATAATTATAAGAAAAGAATGAGAAGAAATGAAGAAATCAGATAAATGCTATACTTTAATAAGTGATGAGACTGTAGCTGATTGTATAATAATGTGCTGCAGATAGTGAGTACAATATGACAAAGAGCAGTCTTAAAGTAGCAGACTTGCATATGAATCAGATTGCAGAAGAAAAAGAAATTCAGAGTTGAATTTAACTGTTTACATCAGTTTAATTGTAAAGACTATAGAGGACAAACTATCTGAAACATCTGCAGATGTATGAGATCAAGTTATCTCAATCTCTGAGAATGCTCAGAGATCAGATGAGATTAGTTTTGATGAGCTGTTTACTGTAGTGATCTGAGTGAGTGAAGAGAGACAGTATAATGCATGAGACAGAATCACAAAAGATAAAAGCTGTCAAATCTAGTCACTGAACACTGTATCATATAGAGATCATGTAAGAGTAGTAGCTAGCAGATAAAGAAAAAGCATAAGAAAAGAGATGATGAATTGATCATCAATCATAAGAATCAGCTGTAAAAGACAAATGTTATCATACACATCTCATTCATTTTTATATATCATATGTTAATCTATTTTCAATGCTATGTCATCTGAAAAATGTCAAAAACAAAGAAAATCTCAAAACTTGAGATCTGTAAGAGATTTGAGAGCTGCAAGCTGCTCTTACAATAATACTGTGCATGTCTCTGATTCCTCTACTGCTCTGTGTATAACATTAATGTCATTTATTGCAAGATTGACTGGAATGCTAATATAGAAATGCGCATGCATATGTGTAGAGAAATTGAAGAAGAGCATGGAACCTGCAGAATCAGAAGCCAGAGCAGAGAGAACAGAGACAGAAGAAATGAAAGAAGAAGATACAGAACTGAATGAATGACAGTGAGAGTCATCTGAGACTGAACACTTATAACTCAGTGTGCACACAATCTTCCTCACAGAGAAGAAAGAGAGAGAGAAAGTGATGAGAGAAGCTTGAGAATGAGAGAGAGTAGTCTCAGTGATGTTGTTATCTTTGATCAGAATGACCTCTGATATCAAAGCAACTAAGAATCATTGTTAGCATATGAAAATTGTAAAAGCAGGGATAATAATTACTGAACAAACACTTACTGGTCTTCAAATTGTATATGTAATTACAACATGCATGAGACTCCTCAGGAAGAGAGAGAGAGACATGAGAGAATGCAGAAAGCAGAATGCAGTGTGTGAACAGCTCATTCTCATGATAACATCTCAGACAAGATGTACAAGTCTCACACCCGCGGGTGTAAAAGAGTACAATATTCGCATTTCTGTTTCTGAAAACATGAATATTCTTTATCTGCATTATGAAGTTGAACAATAACTGTTAGAGAATAAACTGATATGAGTTGATCATTCTGAAGATATTAGTCAGAGTGAATGTATCTGCAGTATTGAATTTAACAGTTGTGAAAAGTTTCTTAATGTCTGTGAATGTCATGACTTCATGCACAGCAAAACTCATAACAATTTCCTCTAAAAACAGGAAAATCAGTGTCAGAAAGAAAAGATGAAAAAGAAAAAGACTTACAATCTTAACACTGTTGAGAGAGGAAGTAATTCTCTGATATGAATAAATAATTGTCTTATTACAAATATTTAAAATAAATATAATAATTGACATCTGTGACTGAGCTTTAGATAGTTGTGTCATATACTGTCTTCATATAATAAATCATTCTGGGAGTTGATAAGAAGAGTGAGAGTGTATATGCTGAGAGACATGATTCACTGAGTCTATGCAATATCTTCTTAAAATGAGAAGAGCTAGTAATGAAGACAGAGACAGTAAAATCAGAAGTAACAGAAGTAGAGATTGCAGAAACAGAGATAGTGAGAGTGAGAGAATCAAACACAGAGACAAGTATAGAAGATTAAAGAGTGACAGAGAAAGAGATAGAGAGAGAAGCAGCAGAGAAAGAAGTAGCAGAAGAGGTAAGAGAGAGTATAGAAGACTCAGTCACATATGATATAGATAATTTCTTTATTATCATATTCTTCAAGTTCTTGATCAAGGATTTCACATCAGGTTCACTATCATTGACAGATGCAGATCTGTCAATACATGAAGATTCTATATGAATAAAAACAAACATATCAGCATCTGTGTTCATGTAAAATTATATCAGAAAACATGATCAGAAATCTGCTGAGAAGAAGAAACAGTTAAGAGTGTATAAGAAGATGAAGAAGATGTGTCATTATTCATAATAATACATTATTCTGACAATTGTTAGAAGATAAACAAGTTCTGACTATGTTTCATAATGTATTATACTTACTGCTAATGAACTGCCTGATATGAGTACTACAATAATGCTTATTATGAGAACAGAGAGTCATTGTCAGAAATATGTATAATGTGATAGATGAACAGATAGAAAGAGTTAAATAGAAGAAGAAATAGAAATCTTGAATAATGATAACATTCAATGATGATAAAATGAAGAAGATGATTAAAGAATGAGAAAAGTTAGTAAATAAGTAATGTAATATAGTGAAAGTTTCTTTATGAGAGTGTATACAGAATGCTAGCTGAATCAGAGATAGATCACACAATTATGAAACACTAGTGATGAGCTAATCCACATGAAGCTAGAGTGTACAACATGGTCACATGAGCATGACCAAATCTGGTGAGGGAGAATGTGATTTGAAAGAATGTACAACTGTTGAATAATACTGCGGCCGCTTCTGAACTACTAGCATACATGTATGAGTGTAAAGGGGTCATAGCAGCTGCTAATTAAATTAGTGTATGATATTACAATATATAAGAAGCCGGCGTACGCCTGTAATTGTACGCTGACTTAAGCAACCTTTGAATCACATCAGAGTCATGATTATGTAATGAGATTAAGTAATGCACTTAGTGAGATTAAGTTTTCTGCTTTCTAGTTACTATCTGATCTCACTCAATACATCTTTTCTTATAATTTGAAACTACTTAATTATTTATTATCAATTCTACAATCAATTTAAAATTAATTTAAAATCAATTTAATACTGAAATTATTCTTGAATTTAATAATAAAGTAAGTATTTATATAATTTACACTGAATTGATTATTAATTGATTTTCAATCAATTGTTAATTACTTAAATATATAGATTGAATTTATTTTATTACTATAATTAATTAATAATTAATTCAGAATCAATTTAAAATCAATTTAAAATTAATTTAATACTGAAATTATTGTTGAATTTAATAATAATACTAAATTAACTATCAACTGATTTTCAATCAATTATTAATTACTTAAATATATAGATTAAATCTATTTTTATTACTATAATCAATTCAGAATTGATTCAGAATCAATTTAAAATCAATTTAAAATCAATTATTAAATATTTTTATCTTAATATATTTTAAAATTCTATATTAATTTATCTATTTATTTAATTGATTATGAATCAGCTATACATGCTTTGATTGATTGATAAGCTGAGTGAATGAATGAATTGAAAGATTGAAAGTTAATTACCAACTGATTATTACTGTATTGTGCGAGGTCGGGGTCATGATTATGTAACGAGGTCAAGTGGCGCACTTAGCGTGGTCAAGTTTTCTGCTTCCTGCTGTAGGCTACTGGGGCAAAAGAGCTCAATCACCACCAGCGCCTGCTGGTAGAAGGGCCGACCAACCGCGGGACCCTCAACACCCCCCCTCGGACCAGCTACCACAGAGTACAATACTTCCCCTCAGTGGCTCCCTTCAGTGGCCTCCCCACAATGGCTCCTTTTAATAATGGACTCAGTCAGTCCTAGGGCTCACAGGACTTCTAGGGCACACTCCTGGGATGTCTCTTAGCACTGTTAAAATGTTCAAGGGTATTTGTTAGGAATTTTTAAGTCCATTCTGGGATTAAACCCATGCATGTTGACCACAGCGGGGCTCACGCTCAACGGTCTCATAACCTGTAGGCTACTGGGGCAAAAGAGCTCAATCACCACCAGCGCCTGCTGGTAGAAGGGCCGACCAACCGCGGGACCCCCAACACCCCCCCTCGGACCAGCTACCACAGAGTACAATACTTCCCCTCAGTGGCTCCCTTCAGTGGCCTCCCCACAATGGCTCCTTTTAATAATGGACTCAGTCAGTCCTAGGGCTCACAGGACTTCTAGGGCACACTCCTGGGATGTCTCTTAGCACTGTTAAAATGTTCAAGGGTATTTGTTAGGAATTTTTAAGTCCATTCTGGGATTGAACCCATGCATGTTGACCACAGCGGGGCTCACGCTCAACGGTCTCATAACCTGTAGGCTACTGGGGCAAAAGAGCTCAATCACCACCAGCGCCTGCTGGTAGAAGGGCCGACCAACCGCGGGACCCCCAACACCTGCTATCCTACAGAATGGAAGCTGAAAAGGGCTGCTTATGTAATGATGATAGCGGCGTTGAACGCGCCCAACGCGTCGCCGGAAACGCATTAATTTCGAATACTTAAGATATAGCATCACCACGCAAGCCGTCCACAGAAACCAGCTCCCCGATTCCCTTACAATTAACAAGATAACCCCCACTAAGATCTATCTCTTTTTTCTAAATTAAATATTTACGCCTCAATCAAGACTCATCTGTAAAACACAGCGCCAAAAACGCGCATCAGAAAGTTTCCTCCATTGCGTTTCAAGACTTGGTAGTTACCGCACCTATTCAAGCCCGGCAATCCAGGTACACGCAACACGCAAGAAGCCGAAACGAAAAAGGGTGCAAAAACATGTTCGCAATACAGCCACCTAAGAACAACACTGATTCACATCAACGTAATTCATCAATTACTCCAAACATTCTTCCGTGCCGGATTCATCATGACGGACCTGTTGAAATCTCGGCTAGATACTGGAATCCGGTAGTTGATGAGAGCAATCCTGGTATGTTTTTGGAAATCCCATTTTTATGCGAGTTTTGTCTTGTTTGTTTTTCTCTTGATTCTGCTCGTCTGTCTTTAATCTGTTTATTTTCATTATATACATCTATCACAATGGATTCTGTCTTCACTTCGGCAAATAGATGGAAGACCAGCTAACCTTTTCCTACAAGACACTGCAACCGCATACTTCCGAGGTAGAAGGCTTAGGGGACGGAGAGTTCTTATCCCAGAGGGATACGAGGGTATGTGTTTTGCATTTTCCATTTCGTCGCCATTATTTGATAGGGGACCATAGTTTGGGGGAAAAAGGCGAGACAACAAGTAATCTATCTGACTCCGTTTTAAAAAATATTGTTTCGAATCGGTTACAGGCGTTCTTGCAAGTACAGATTCAAGTCTCCAACTAGCAGCATTGGAATCCGGAACCAAGAAGAATGACCAAGGGCGATCGCATCGAAATTTCGATCTGGAAGAAGACGAAGATGATGATCATCACGATGATAGCGATGAAGATTACTGGAAGTCGTTCGCAGTAGTCGAAAAACAAGGTTCATTTTCGGATTTCATGGTATGGGACCATGAAAAAGTACCAGCCGCTGATGACCCTTTTGTTAAGGGCGTCAGCGAGTGGATTCGGTTCGCTGAGGCGGTGCGTATCCAGCTGTGATTTATGTTCATTCACCACTCAAACAAAATCTTCATGTCGTTTTTTGTTGTTCTGGCACTGTTGAGGATGTAAGACATGATCATTTGCTAACTTCCGCACAGATGCATGCAGCACCCTCTAATCCAGCACGGCAAGATAATGGAAGGGTCTATATGGAGCAAAAAGAGAGGGGCGAGACCCAAAAGGATTGCAGGAACTCGGCATCTTCATAAATGAGAATAATGCAGGGCCATGCCATTCCACTTCTTGATTTCTTGGTGCCTCAGAGTACTTGTTGAACAATTCTTGATGCAATTATTTATGCGATACCATAGTTATACCCAGCTCTGTACTGTACTTTGGCGCGTAGTTCTAGAACATTGGATAGAAGATTTTACCTTTGGCAACCACGTGCTGCACAACGATAAGGTTTTGGTAAGAATTACTCTGTATATACTATGCGTGAGGTAAAAAGAAAACCTCATCCAACAGCAACAACCGGTTCATGCACGAGATGGGATACGTCCAGTCCACGCATCTTATCATATCAGCCCCGCCGCCTTGGCAGCATGTTCTTCAAGGCCACGCCACGCTAAAAGTCCGCTAAGACTGCTCTAGAAGCGCTACGTTAATTCGGCCAAGGCTCAAACACAAAGCTTGATCTCAACTACGAACAAGAGGGCGGCATCGACTACACGTGGGTGTGTGTGTACAGGCGGGAAAAACGCATTATTTTCAATTGACGGCGAGACAACCACGGGCGAGCAACCATAACAACAGCCAAAATTCTGCGGAAGCTCCTCGGGACGTTTTGGCATTGTTATTTCGCATACCGTTACCTATGCACATTGCACATTGCACATTGCACGTTGCACGGCAACTAAAGCGTGGAACAGCTTTCTTCTGAGTGGCCGCCAACAGCGCCCGGATTGGACCTGCCTTTGCAACAATGGAGCAGAGGTAGTCTATGGCGCGAACTGCTGAGGCCTTCTCATGCTGAAAATACATAGAGTACAGTCTGTACGCAGAGAGAGAGCAGGTTTTGCTGAGTGATGACAGTGGCTGACAAGGTCTTTATTATTCCTCCATATCGCTTCATTACTATGAGCGGGGTCCCTCCCGTTCGCGACTTGGATTATCACGTCTTATCTTTAGGGCGTTAGCAACAACCATTATTATTGAGACTCGGGGAATTAGCCAATGCACGTGTGTGGCAGAGAAGCATCGTCGGCCAGCATCCACTTTTTGCACCGCTGACATTGTTGCATTCCGTGGATTTGAATCACAAACTGCCCATTCCTCAGCTCTTTTCCGGCATGCATCGTTGACAGGTATTATCGCCGCAGAAGCACGCCCCTCACTTCTGCGCGTCAACCCACGCTCTCGGGGTCTTCTGAGATCAAGCATCACCCCGGCAACAAGCATTCCTGGTCCACTCCCTCAGTCAGCTGTAATCGGCATAAAAGGAGATACGCCACCACCTCCTTTTATTTTATTTTTTTATTTATTTTATTTATTTTATTTTACATATATATATATATATATTTATGTTTTTTTTCAATTCCTTTCTGTTTCTCTTTTTATGTGCTGTGCTTCTCCAGCTGTCCATTCGTTTTATGAATTGCAGTGCCTGCATTCTTCTTTAAACCATGAAGTTTTCGTGGGTCGCCGGTGTTGCGCTGTTCTCGTCTGCGGGTCTAGCGCAGACATACCAGCGCCTGGGAGGATGCCCTGAGTTGGGTTGTGTTTTCCCACCAGACCAGTATGCTCTCCTCCCTATTTTTCTTTTTTTCTTTCTTGTTCTTCATTCATAGTTCGGAATCATTGGTTGGCAAATCGGTGTTTCTTGAGTTGGAAAGATACGTGGTGTTTGAAAAACTAACAAATTCAACCCAAAAAACATTCAGGGCGGATTTCCTGGCTGGACAATATTTTGACATCCGTGTCGAAGTCCATTCGCCTGTCAATGGCTCTGAGGCCCGCGACGGAGAGCCGGATCCCAACTTCACTTTCACTCTCATGAAGAAGGGTCGTAACAGTAAACCAAAACCAGTTACCGAATATTTTGACGTAGAAGAACCCGAGCTTGAGAAATGGGACTTCAGTTGGTATGAAGGTAAGTTTGTTTGGCCATTCGAAAGAAATACAATTGAACACTCAATCAAGGATCTGAATACTGATCTTTGTTAAGACCTATTTGCGCGAGATGCGAAGAAACCCTCATTGGTCAAGGTCTCATCCAAGATCTATCGTCGCGTTGCGTTGTACCACCCAGGAGACTATGAGGCTACCCTCACCTACTATGATGGCAAGACAACGACAGCTAGCTGGCACGTTCGAGACTTAGCCGCAGTTCGCAAGGCGAAGAACGTGATTATGTTCATTGGTGATGGCATGACCACTAACATGATCACCGCTGCGCGTATGATTGCCCATCGTTCCGTCAACGGCAAATTCCAGACCACTATGCAGATGGACAAGTTCCCTGTTCTCGGTCATCAAATGACCCATTCCTTGGACTCGATGATTACCGATTCTGCCAACTCTGCCACTTCTCTTTACACTGGCCACAAAACGACTGTCAATGCTCTAGGTGTCTACAGGGATTCCTCTCCATCATCATTTGATGATCCCAAAATCGAGACCATTGCCGAGATCTTCCACAGGGTTTATCCCCGTGCTGGTATTGGGATTGTTACCACTGCTCAATTGTGTTAGTTTTGCCGCTCCTTAGGATTTTCTTTTCGTTTTTCTCTTTCCAGTTGAACAGAAGGAATAACATAATACTCTTCTAGCCGACGCAACGCCAGCTGCATTGCTTGCTCATACGAAGGATCGGCGTGAATCCGGGCACGTGATTGACTCATACTTCCAGGGCTCGACTAATTACACCTGGACTGAGTGGGATGGACCGGACGTTCTTTTCGGCGGTGGTGCAGAGGACTTCCTTCCCGCAAGTGCGTATCTAGGTCAAGATTACTATAAGCTCTTTGCGGAGAAGGGATACAGCGTCAGCTGGAACAACACTGCATTGGCTCAAGCCCCCAACACCGAAAGAGCGTTGGGTGTATTCTCGAAGGGTGTCATGGCTAAGTGGCTCGACCGAAATATCTACACAGACAACCTCAAGAGTCAGAAGAACCACCCAGATGGTTCGGAGAAGGACGCAGATGACCAACCCGGCCTCAAAGAAATGACCCTCAAGGCCATTGACATCCTAACCACTCGCACGTGCAACGATGGTTGGTTCCTCATGTCTGAAGCCGCCAGCATTGACAAGCAAATGCATTCTCTTGACTACGATCGCGCTCTTGGAGAGCTGCTCGAGCTCGATGACACTGTTCGTGCCACGGTCGAGAAACTACACCGTATGAAGAAGCTCCATCAGACTCTTATCCTCGTAACAGCTGACCACGGCCACGGCTTCGACGTCATGGGCACTGTTGACACGGAATACCTCAACGCCCAAGATACAGACCGAGCCAAGCGCGATGCTGTCGGCATCTATGAGGCATCAGGCCTGTCACAGTACACTGTGCAGACCGAGGGATCATTCCACTATAACGGGGGTGCCCATTTCCCTGCCCAATGGGATCCCCGTTACTCACTGTTCGCTGGAGTCAGCGCAAACCCGGATAGAAGAGAAAACTACCAAGTCCACAAGGATGGGCCACGAAGGCCTGCGGTGACATTGGAAGACGGATCCAAAGATTATTATGTTAACTACAAGGATGGAGTTTCTGGATTTGTGATTAACGGAACTCTGTCAGCTGCAGAGCCTCAGGGCGTGCACTCTTTGACCGATGTGCCCGTTTTCGCCATGGGCCCGTGCCAGAAAGAGTTTGGAGGTATGATACTCACTTCCTCTTTTTTTTTTTTTTTTTTTTTTTTTTTTTTTTTTTTTTTTTTTTCCTTAGCTATATCACCTATGCCATTCAATCCCTAGATCCCTAGAGGGGGGGAAGGTGTTATACCAGACCGCGTTAAAAGCACGCTTAAAATAATTTTTACTAACATACCAACCCACTGCAAATCTAGGTGTCTACAACAACATCGACATTTTCTTCAAGATCGCCAAGTGTCTTGGCCTCAGCCGATCAAAGGCAGATAAGTGGAAGAAGATACATTAGGCGGATTTTTTTCTTTTCTTTTAGAGTAGTGAATGCGGAAGCATCAGCGGGTATTTGAAAATATACTGAGAGAACAACTTCAAATGTTTCTGCTATTCGAGATCCGTCACTCATCTGCGTAAATTTACTGCTCATCGCCATTATTGGACAGACAGCCCCCCTCCATTTTAGTTTTCCGTCATTGCTGTTTCTTTTTATACCTCATACCTTAACTTTATTCTTGATGTATATACATTCTTCTTTCGCTTCTTCGGATCCTACCTTTTATCCCCATTCATATCCGTAAAATAGTATCTCTTCTGATGAAAAACGGTTGTTAATGCCGTTTTGTTTTATTTATTTATTTATTTGTTTGCGGAACGACTTACGCTGGTAGGTAAGTTAGGTTACAGATCCCCTAACGGCGGGAGGGAAAATGAAAAAAAATAGATTGGAGGTGAGGAGAGTTTCAATGACCAACACGCCAACTTCTCCAAGACGAGGGCCATAAATAGACAAGTTGCTGTAGCCACGCCCACAATGAGCTACCCTACCTGGGTAGTAGTGAAAAGAGCGTTTTGGCGAATTAGGAAATTTACAGCGCTGGGCAACCTCCCAAACCTCGGATTTTACTATTGAGGATGCTTGCCTGGCAGCCTGAGTTTAATTTCGCGAATGTTTGGCTGTCTGTTGCCTCGGGAATGACATGTAGAAGATACAATCGGAGGTATTGTCGAGTTCTGCTAATTAGTATGGATATACGCTGTAGAGAAGCTTTCTACCTAGGGTCAATTCAGAAAGCTTGTAGGCTGCCTTGCCTTGAGATGCTCTCAAGGTTTAAGAGCTAGTACAGACGCCTAACTGTAGTAGCTGCCAACTTGCTATAATCTGTAGAAGAATTAACATTGATGGTGTTCGTATAGAATGTGAGACACGTGACTGCAGTAGTTAACTGCCTAGCCGAAGCAGCTACAACAATCAGATGGGATGGCAGACATAGGTAAGTTACCACATCAAGATTTATTTGCATAATCACAGATTAACCAAGGCGGGAAGCTCCGAGCTTGGTGAAACAGAAACTATTCATTGCAGTGGGAATTCGGGTTATTTAACTCGATGGCTGAATATAAACAGGCGGAGAGCTTGATCCCGCAATTCAAAATAGAGAGATTGCTCAACCAAGGTTGGCATTCCTTCCACTCCATTTACTTAGTCACTTTCCTACGGCATATCAAACGCCCATTCATAATGACATGAACCCTGTTGCCATTCGCTGCATTGTCTCTTTTCAGCCTGTGGTTTCCTCTCGACTAATCCATCCTTCCACTGCCATAGATCAAAATGACCGCCGCATATCCATCCTCGGATCCATCAATGATGCACCTGGCATACTAATCATCGAAAGAGCGGCTTTCGTTTCAGATTCGGAGTCCATTAAAGCGTTTCATGCTGCGTTAACTAATGTGGCTATCCTTGGGGCCAACGATATATACCGCTGGTACCTTGCATCAACTGGACAAAATCATGTTTCCCCACCAGACTTAAAACTAAATCTGATTTGGCCCTGCACGGAGCAGCACATCTTGAAATACTCGGCGCAAAATGTGCGCATGGTTACGGAGACGCCAGAGATATATGCGAACCACGTTCGCGCTTATATGCAGGGCAAAAGAGAGGACGGCAGGTTGAACTGGGTGTATAATATAATCGAAGGGCGGAAGGAGCAGGAGGATGTGATAATTCGAGTGTCTGACCCAGTTGAAGGGTTCTTGCTGTTGCCCGATCTTAACTGGGACCGCAAGACAATAGGAACTCTCCGTCTTCTTTGTCTAGTGGAGCGACGTGATATATGGAGCCTGAGAGACCTAAAGAAACAGCATATCCCATGGTTGAAACATATGAGAGAGAAGGTGCTAGACGGGGTCGTGAAGGTTTATCCCCAACTTGAGCGAGACCAGCTGAAGCTCTATCTCCATTGTACGTATTATACATTAGGATGCCATAAGGCGCCAGGAGTTGTTTTCTGTGTTCGCGCACTAATTTACCATCTAGACCAACCAACTTACTACCACCTTCATATTCATGTTGTCAATGTAATGTTAGAAGGTGGCTCTACACAATCTACGGGGAAGGCCTTTGGTTTGGAGAATATAATCTCGCAGCTAGAAACTATGGGCGGTGGACCGAATGCTGGAATGGCTGATGTTTCGCTCTCGTACTTCATAGGTGAGGAAAGTGACCTGTGGAAAACGGTGTTTGAACTCTTAAAACGAGGTGAGCAGCCCAAAATAGGTTGAGCTGAGGAATGATAAAGAAAACTGTTCTAGATAGATCTTGTTTACTTTATTTATTATTTCAATTGTTATAGATGAATACTCTATATGATAGAGCTATATAACTAGTAAAAGAAGAATTCCAAAGCAAGACTGATTAATCTGTCACTCTCACTTATTATAGTAACTATATGTAATACTATATATAAATTTCCCTTTTAAAATTGTATAAATACAAAGATAATTGAAAAAACTAATTGTGGCGGGCTGCGCCCGATCAATCACATTCCATAGATTCCCATTCTCTCTGAAAACCCACAGAATTCCTATTTTTCTGCCCTGAAGTTCCACCGCGTACATGTATAAATATTCACTTCAATTGCTGATTCTCACACTTTCTCATTCTTTTTCTTTTCTAACATTTCTCACTTTGTTATATAAGACCTATAAATATTATACTGATCTATTCAGTGTAGGCCTCTTATACTTGAAAAATGTTCATTATCTTCTCATTAGAAATGATTATCTACTGAGATATCTAAACACATAACAATGTGTAAGAAATAGAGAAAATAATCAATCAGTTAAGTAAACACTGAGTCTTAATCAGTTAAGTAAACACTGAGTCTCTAAATAGAAGCTTGCTTATCAGTCACTCTGACTCTGTAATAAAATCTTATAAAAAAATATCAGTGAAAGATCTGAAAGTTCTGATACTTTAAATATATAAGATATTTATATAATTACACTTCTTCTGATTTCACTGTTATTAAACTGACTGTGTAACCGTGTCTGAAACCAGGATCAGAATTTTTGATAGCTCTATTACTATTGTAGTGAATATATTACTTGTGAAAACAGAATTTTCTCAGTTCTCTCTGAAAATTATTGTAGTAAAACACTATTAAAAAATCAAAATATCTGCATTTCTCTAGAATTATTCAATATCATTTAATACACATCTTTTTCAATTAAATATTATTTAAATACACATCTTTCTTACTTTTATTATTAAATTTATATATATCAATTAATTCTTTTTTTAATATATCTTATAATATCTGCTGTTCTACTGCTTTACAAGTCTGTACAGAGACTTCTACTCTGTATCTCAGTCTTTTTAAACTATCTGTTTTAAAAGTTCTGAATAATGAAGAGAATCTGATCAATGATGAGATAAAGAAGTAGATAAATAAGAAGAATATAGAGACTCAGTCTGAGAATTCTTAATATCTATGAATATCTACATCTGAGTCTGACATCTTATACAGATTGTATAAATAAGTAATTATTAATAAGATAAAGAATAAGAGAGATGATAAAATGATTAATAAGTAAAAAGAAGAAGAAGAATTAGAAGAATAAATCTATAATTTCTATAATTAATTCTTCTATACAGATCTTTTAAATGTTAGTGATTATATTCTCTTCTTCAGCTCTGACAGCTTTAACTTTATTCAATATAACATTCTCAAGTAAGATAATTAATATGATAATGATAAAATATATAATAAAAGAAATAGAAGAACTGAATTCATAATCTCATTATTATTCACATTTAAATCTGCTATTAAATCTTTTATTAAATTCACTATTAAATTATTCATTGAATACACTATTAAAATCTTTTTTTAAATTCACAGTTAAATCTTTTATTAAATACACTGTTGAAATCTTTTATTAAATTCACTATTAAATCTTTCATTAAATACACTGTTAAAATCTTTTATTAAATACACTGTTAAAATCTTTTATTAAATTCATCATTAAAATCTTTTATTAAATTCACTATTAAATCTTTCATTGAATATACTCTTGAAATCTTTTATTAAATACACTATTAAATCTTTCATTGAATACTGTTACGTACTACATATTTATACTACATGTTCATATTACCCGTTATACGCGTATTTCTCATTATATCTGTGTAATTCTCAGAACACTTACTTTTTCCTTCTTTATATAGTTTTATTCTCTCTTATCTTAGCTAGTTAGAAGAGAATAAAACTTAACTTTATAAAATAATATTATATATAATAGCATGTCTATATACATGTTCTAGTATTCAGATTCAGTTATAATTGAATCTCAGATAAGATAGTAATTACAGCTTTTAATAACAGCTACTGTATAAAGATTGCAGACTTATAGATATAAGATTATTATTATAAAACATTATCTATATTATTTATTTAACTACTTCTGCTTAATTTCTATCATTACTCAGTTTATTTATATTAATATATTACTATACTATTATAATTCTCAGTCTGTGAACTTAATCAGATCTCATATTTCAGATTAAAATATTAAGAGATAGAAGCTAGTCTGTCTCTTTATCTCTCTTTCAGATATTAATAGTGAGTAGTAAATTATTATACATACTTTATCTCATAATCTCATCTTTTACTCATGAAGATGAAGATCTTATAAAATACAATTCTCTAGTTTTATCACTTTATTTTAAGATATAATTTAAAATTAATACTGTTATAATATTACTATATCAAATGAGTTTTCAGAATAAAAAACATTCTCACTTGATTAAAATCTCTTTTATAGCAGATTTTAAATATGTTAAAGCAGTATTTACTCTAGAAGAAGAATCTTCTTATACTATCTATCTAGTTAAGACAAGAGAGTAATTTACAGCTTTAAATCTCTCTTATAAATTAGTTACTAGATTCAAGGAATAAATCTGCAATTTAGATAAGAATTAAATTAAGTAAATGAAGAGCTTATAAATTTTAATTTAGATGAGAAATACAAAGCTAAGATATTTCACATTAATTTCAAACTGAGTATGAACTCAGATTTCACTCATACTACTTATAAGCATAATTTAATCTCTTCTCAATTAAGTGTATCAACACTGCAAGAGTAAATTCTTATTATCTCAGTATGTATCACTTACATTACTATGAACTGAGATGAGATACATAGAGCTCAATCAAGCTTCTATTTCAAGCAGTTATAATAAGTAAACAGTAATAATCTTACTTTAAGAATGCATCTTAACACTCATTCTAATTCTAATATCACAGTCAGCAGAAATGAAGACATCTATCAGTTATATAATATGAATGTGAAAAATCTCTCTATATTATACTCTGATAGCAGCTCATTCAATTCTGTACACAATATTTTTCATAAACATAGAGAAGTGCTCTGATATAGATACACTTAATATTCAGATAATAATTCTTTCTTCTTCTTATCTTCTTTCAATGAAGAACTCAGATGTCAGTTATAATATCATAGCAGATATCATCAACAGTACAGCTAATAATAAAGAAGATATAATTCTTCTTCAGTCTCTGAACTCTGAGAGCAAACACATCATCTTAAGCTTAAATCAGATGATATGATGATATTCAATACAGCTGAAGTTAATATCTGTATATTCATACTTCACTTTAAGTAAATTTCTGCATTGTATAAAGATGAAGTAGTATACATAGTACTCTTATAATATCTCTAAGATGAAGCTCTTGAATAACTTACTGATCTAGAGTCTGACACTATTCAAGCTATGAATGATGACTTATTCTGCTGAGAAACTGAACTATTAAAGCACTTTAAGAAATCAAGATAGTAAGTCTTGTAAGAAGCTCTGTTTCTACAGTACTGATTTTTCAATTATAACAGTCTATTTATATTCTTTTACTTTATCTGAAAAATCACTCTTCTGTGTGAGACAGAGATCACAGATCAAATTCAACTTATTCAGTATCTATACAATAATCTTGAAACACAGCTTTAAGTAATCTGCTCTGTTAATAAATTCACTGAAGACTTTTCTTCTTTAAATAACTTTCAGTGCAAGATTCTCAATCAGAATACTGCTGTATACAAATTGTGATCACTTAATTAACAATCTTCTCACCTCTTCAATAAACTCTACAATGACAGAAAGTATAAGTCTATGAATAACTTAAATATCAATCTCATCAATCAGCTTCTTAATTCTGAAAATCTCTGACAGTTCAATCACTGAAATAACTACAAGAATAGTAACAGTTAAAATGAATCACAGAGTTATAGCAATCAACATTACAATGACTGAAACAAGTGAAGAAAACTCTATAAGAAAAATCAAAATCAAGTCTTTCATATCATTCAGAATGACATGTCAGCTTATAAAGATATTGATAAAGATGTTATTGAATTACAAAGTAATATTGCATCTGAATCAGACACTTCTTCAAGCTTAAAAAATGATTAGTCAATCTTGAACATTATTTTTTCTTTATAAATATGTATAATATTCTTTCTGATTTCAATCTTCATTCTTTTAATATTTACAGAATGTCTGAGTTTTTATAATTATCTTCAACATCTCTTACAGCTGTAATGTTAGATAAACATGAATCATCATTTCTATTGATACAAGATACAGGTTTTAGATTATCTCTAGTTAAAGCTTGAACTGTTTACAAACACTTCTCATTCACTCTCATTAATTTCAATTTCAATCAAATTCAAATTGTTATACACAGTATATTCAAAATATCTCTCATCTCTAAGAAATACACTATTCTTTTCATTTAATATTACCAATCACTAGACTGGCCGCCGGGACTATGAATTTCATGTTTGGTCCCATTTGGTCTGATCTCATACATTTCTTGGCGTGAATCCCGCTGGGACTGGCTATCAAAAAAACAGGTAAAGTGACTATATATCAGATCTTAAAATGGAACCATGACTTGAAAAAAATGAGAAAGTGATCTCATTTGATCTCATTTAGTCTCATTCTTAGCATAAAGTTACTATTTTTAGACATTTTAAGGTTTTTTTTAGACTATTTTTAATTTTTTAAAAAGTAATGCTTTTTGGTAACACTCAAATGAGATTTAAAGTCATTTAAAGCAATAAAAATAATTTAAATTGAGAAGTGGAAATCATGGTCCCATTTGGAAAATGTGACAAGAGTAGACAGTAAGTCTCACTGAAACAGTATGAGACTACTATCTAATGTTAAAACCGTGTAATGAGTAGACTGGCCGCTGGGACCATGAATTTCATGTTTGGTCCCATTTGATCTGATCTCATACATTTCTTGGCGTGAATCCTGCTGGGACTGGCTATCAAAAAAACATGCAAAGTGACTATATATCAGATTTTAAAATGAGACCATAACTTGAAAAAAATGAGAAAGTGGTTTCATTT